TGAAAAAGGGGCGTTGTCTTACCTGAACGCCTTTTGTCAGCATGATGATGGAGAATCCACGGATGGGTTGTCTTAATTAGACTTAGTCTAATTGGAGCAGATAGATTAAGATAACCCATCCGTGGGTTCTCCATCCAATCATGCTGGAGAAGAGCCAGCACCAGGTTTCTAACATCGCAGGATACAGAACACGGGACAATTATAAAATCTTCCAAGACTTAGGCTTTTTCGATGAGACTTCGTAATATTTCAGGGATAAAATCTTTGAAATTTCATGAGATGTGTTTCAGAAGGTTTCAGGTATTTTTAGTTTTGAGAGAAGGCATATATTGCAGAAGTTTGTACAAGGGTATCTGATGTCGGTTACAGAGAACATTTTGTTAAGAGCAAACTGTTTAAAAATATTAGACACATTTCCCCCCCCCACCACCACCACCACCAGGATCTTTGCTGTGCCTGCCCTGGTGTATGAATCATGCGTTTACAAGGTGCAAGTTTAAGATGGTCAGACATACTTCTTCTTATACTTTTTTTAAATTGGAGAATAGATGGATGGCTAGCAGAGATATTATATGTCTCTGGTAGCTTCTATATATGGTGATTTACTTTTAGCCTGGGGATCATTTTCTTGGAGTTCAGCATAAAAAAATCTCTTTTAACTATTTTATTTATTTATTTATTTATTTATTTATTTATTTATTTATTTATTTATTTTATGAGACTTATATACCGCTTTAAGTGCAAGCACTCTCTAAGCAGTGTACACCAGTAAGCAATGTATATATATATTACATTGCCCCCAACAATTTGGGTCCTCATTTTACCTACCTCGGAAGGATGGAAGGCTGAGTCAACCTTGAGCTGGTGAGATTTGAACCGCTGACCTGCTGAACACAGTCAGCTAAAGTGGCCTGCAGTACTGTTATTGTATTTTTAATTTATGTTTTTGTTTGCATTCTATTCTTTTTATCTTTTATTGTATTTCTGTATTTTATATAAGACATTTTGAAGCTATTGTGAATGAGGGAGATAAATAAGAAAATAAATCACTTAGAGATGCAAATAACTCCATGTGCTAATCATTTCAATGTTTATTGTTTTATCTCCATCTGAGTGTGAACTAACAGGATAAGTCAACCTTAATAACAATAATGCTTTATTTATAAAAAATTCATACACTATGAAATAATGTAAGAATATAAGTAAACTACAAAAATAGAATTCACTCTCCCACTAAGTGAAATTTGCATAATGTAGGAGTAAACTGAAGAATTTTTTCATTACTTTAGATACATTTTTGACTGTTTCTTCCAAAGCTGATATAACAAAGACTATGAAGATAACTAAAATTACCATATTTTAAAAAAGATTATTTTAAAGCTCATTTCAGAGTACCTTTAAATATGTGTATGACATTATACATACATCTTTTCAGTGCTGTGAGAACTTAAACTGAATGTTATCCAATAAAATATGTAACAAAATTCTTGGCATATGCTTCTGTTTCAAGAGCCGCGATGTCGCCAAGGAGGGGGAGAACAGTGTGTGCTTAATGCTTTCCCCTGCTCGTCATTTTTCTGTTGCATCTCCCTCAGCTGTTGCTTCTTGCTCAATTCAAGATTCACACTGATATAGCTGATATTCTATGCGCAATGAAGTTGGAGAGAAGAACGGAAGCAGAGAAATGGCTGGGAGAAAATGCATTGCAGGCCCTTTCCATTCCATCTACCAGTTCTTTAATCCAGATCTCCCTGTCCATGAGTAATTTCACTATATAAGTCATAGTCGTATTTAATTAAATCTCTATTCATCAAGTTGTTCTTTATCTTTAGTTTTCTTTTAGACCAAGAATTTGAAACAGATCATCTGTTTCTTAATCCATGCTGAGTTATTTATTTTCCTATTTTTGCCAAGATAGAATTGCTGTATCTACACTTGTCAATAACAAAAGGATGTGAAAGGGGAGATAGATAAATTTAAGGAATAATAAAAATACCAGATTAGAATATATACATTGTTCAATAATTAGTTGTCAGTTTGATGACTTATATTCATTTGTAAAAAATAGAAAATTATAAGCATTTGGGTTGTATTTTATAAAACAGAGTCATATAAAATTCATGAAAATGTAAAAATATACAAAATAGTACTTGATGAAGATTACATTACTTAACCAGAAATTCAATTCCCAAACTAATAGATGATCGATCAGACTAGGGTAAATCTGGCACCCATATCAAACAGCTCATGATGTGGTTTAGTTGCAGAGCAACTGAATATTGCTTAAAATATGTGACAGCCAATGTGCTATATGTGGCAGTGGGCATAGACCATATTCTTGGACATTTTGAACAGGGTCCCCAACCTTTGGGCTGTGGCCCACTAATGGGCCATGAGGTGTTCGTAACCAGACCGTGGAAACAGCAGGCGAGCGTGCACGTGTGCACATGCATACACATCCTCATTTGTGCGAACAGTGTGTGTGTGTGTGCACACCCACATCATTTGTGTGAGCGACAGGCACATGTACACACCACTTGTGCAAATGGAGCTACCCATGTGTGCTTGCCGGGCGCTCACGCAAACCATCCCCTCTACCCCCCTTCACTGGTCCACAAAGCCAGAAAGATTGGGGAACTTTGCCTGGGAATCATCAGTTTTTTCTTTTCTATCCATATCTTAGAATCACACTTTACTATATCTCCTCCGAGTGATAAACTATAAAAATTAGAAAATTAAGCAATGTTAAGCTACGGATCAAGAACTGTGGAGTAAGCTTGTAGCTTAATATGCTTAGCACAGAACATGAAAAAAAAGTTAAGCATGTTCATTTTCTAAAAGCATCTGGAGATTATTCTGACTGTGTACTTGATTTAATGTGTTTAGCTGTTTTTTATGTTTTTTCCAGTTTTATAGAATTTCCAGACTCCACCGGAGTTAAGTGGCCACTAATTTAATAAATAATAATAATTCTAATAAAGTCAATAATAAATATATAATATTTATATATTTATAAATATATGTATTTAATATTTATTTTTATTATAAATATATAATAAAAAATCTATTAAACATATATAAGAAAAAAAAGAGCCATTGACTCAATTATGGCCAGCAAATCCTACAATATTTTTTGCAGCATCTCAGGTGTAATAACAAGAAGCTCAGAAAATTGTTCATATTGCTACATCATCCAATTTGAGCATGTGGTAATCAGTTCTATAAATGTTCTATAAAAGATTTGGAAATCTTTTCTGAATATGAACTTTATTTTAACTCTTTCATATGTATTTCTGTGAGAACTGACAATACCACACTCATAAAGAATGTCAATATCAAAATTTTCATTAAGAATTATTTTACTCCATGAAAGCTTCATCTTTTCCCCATTGCCAAATAGTTCTTATTGCTCAATACCGTTACTCTAAGCAGTTCATTTAAAGGGTGCAGGACGTCCTACAAGATATTCCAAAGCATTGCGCCATAGCCTTGAATTTCTTTAAATCAACAACAGATGGTAGTGGTGGGGGTATTAATTCCTAAAATGCTTCAGCTTTCTTTCAATGAGGACTCACTCCATGTTAATTTATGCAATGACCCAGATACACGTGGGTTTTTTTAGGGATAGGAGGCATTTTTTTTGTTTTTAATTTTCAATCTGCAGTTTTTAAACTTGTTAGAACTTTGGGAAGTCTTTGGACAGGTTCACCTTAAATTAACCATGAAAATTCAATTTCTCACCAGCTGCATGCATACTCCTTTGGAACATCTTGGAAACACTAGAAATCCTAAACAGTATTCTTTTATTCTTTTAAAAAAAGGAACAAATTGTGTAGTAAAGATAGATTGCTACACAATCTGGCATGGTTAGCTTTTCTAACATATAGGGCCTAGATCAGGCAGTAAGAATACGGCACTTGGATTTTTCTTTTCTTTAGCGTGACTAGTCTTCTGGTTCACTGATTGCTTCATTCATTTTATATGGCACAATTATTCTGAAATTCTTTTTACTTTAAGACTAATATTATCCTAACTGTGTGAAGTTTATACTAAGTGGGATAGAAAGTGTATTAACACTGTTGAACTTTTGTGTTGGAGAAGACTCCTGGGAATACCAAAGAAATGGATGATTGAACAAATCAATCCACAGATCTCATTTGAGTCATAAGTGACTAAATTCAAATTATTCTCTTTCATAAACATTATGTGAAGACCGAGCTCTCTTGAGAAAGCTCTAAAGCTGGGAAAGATGAAAGAGAAAAAGAGGACAAGAACAGCAGCATAGTGGATAGACCCAGCTACAGTGGGTAGCACTGTATGAGTGCACATCTGGAAGATTTGAAATACCAGATTAAGGACAGATCATCATGGAGAAAATCCATCTATATTGTTGCTATGATTTGACAATGACTTGATGGTCTATGATCAATAATAAATCGTTCCTTCTTAAGCTACATTTTTTTCCGGAAGAATGACTAAGACATTTGTTGGGCTACATGGAGACTTATTCCTCATGGCACATTGGTTCTATTGTTAGAGCTGCTGCTTATCTAAGAAGAGTGTTTATCTGTCCAAGAGAATGCATATTTTAAATTCACATTCACTATGGGCTAGTATTGGCTATAAATATCCTAAGTACATTTTTCCAGCCAGTGTTTCCAACAATATTTCTTAGAGATGAGCAGGCTCTGGAAACTTCCACAGAAACTTAATGAAAATGTGATTATATCCTATTCTGTGCCAATTGTAAAACACACCATATGGCCATTGACCTGTCAAGATGCTTACAACTAGAACATTTAGCAGAGTTACCAAAGCAAACAATTCGTTCCCCCCACTCCACAAATGCTTGTGTTATCACCATGCTTTGCAATTTTGCAACTTCTCTTACAAAGTATAAGTAACTCCTAAGAGACAATGTAATTTTTATTTTAGGGTGGGGAAGCATGGGGCAATAAAGTAGGAAAACTAAAACATGGCCAGAATACTATTGAAGAATCCAATACCTTAATTTTTTTTGGTGTCATTTTTCCAGGGTACCTACTTTCTCCAGTTGGAGTTGGTATGACTTAGCTAAGGTACTTCTAGGGAAAAAATACTTATAGTACTACATTACTGAAAAGTTCAGAGGAATTATAACTGGAGGTAAGGCTAACCCCTCTCCTTCTGTTTTTAGATAGATGTTAAAAAATGAATTACTTTGGAAGGCTTTTCTTATGTTTCTAACTGATGTCATCTTATTCTTTTTCCTTTTTTTTACTTATTATACTTATCTTTCTTGTTATGTACTGTTTATTTGTTTTTGATAGTTTTGACAATGTTCCTACTCCATTAGTGTTGTAATTGTAATTGATTTTAGTTTTTGAAACATTGTGTAAACTGCAGTAAAGTAGATATGTATTTGATCAATACAATAATGAAGCAGTATTTCAATCTGGAAATAGCAAATCAGTGCCAATAGAATGTGATGTTTCTTTCTAGTGATCGTAGCTCGATATAATTTTGGAATTCTAGTATACAATTTATATAAAATTATATTAAACAGGTAATTTTCTGATGATCTTTTTTTCAGAAAATTTATAAGCTATGATGACCTACCTATAAGTCTCATAAAAGATATATCAGTTCCCTAGCATAATTCAACACAGCTACAGTATATCCATGAGTGCGAAAGAATATAATTGGAATAAATTGCCAATTCCTATGTTATCTGAAGTTTCATTTCTTCAAAGCATTGAAGCGAGAAGTCTGGACTGATTGATTTTATTCATCTTTTCTGAAAAACATGACTGGTTGCTAAATAAGTTGCCAGTGCCTTCCTCTGGTGTAAGAACCTAGTGAACCTCCAGCAGAACTATGTTCAGATTATATGTTTGACTCAAGTGAACCAAATCAGTGATACAACTGGAACAAATTAGCCTGTCACCTGGGTTGCCACTATCACTGCTTCTGTTCTTCCTGCTTCCTGCTTGATAAATATGATGATAATCCAGAGATATTCAAAGGCCAGATATTCATCAGGCAGTGTGAGTGATACATTTCATTGTGAATAGCTGGGCTACGAAGTGGTACATTAAAACCATACCCAGAATGAATTGTAGGGAATGATGTTCTTATGAGTGAACTAGGTCAACTGGTTATCACTAAAGTTTTTTGAAAGCTCCTTCCTGTTTCCAGCCTTGTTCCTATGAACATAGTAGCATCCAAAATGTATTTTGGACAAACTTCTTATGAGACAACCTGTCCTTGCCCAACCAGTCTTGGTAACACTTACTTAAATTGCTTTTATATATGGATTTGAAAACATTTTTTGAAAAAATCATTTTGCATGGGAGGAAAAAACAAATAGCAAACTCTGATCCTACTCTCATAATGATAACATTATGCTATGTTCTTTGAACACTTATGAATGCCGCCATTAATAATACTGATCATTAAATTTGTTGCAATAGTTTTGAACCTTTTTCTATTCAGAATTAGTTTAATGATTATGCAAATTTGTGGCAATATTTTTTTATACCTTTTCCTGTTCAGAATTAGGTTAATGATGATGCAAAATAACTGATTCTTTGCTCAGTTTAAATGCTCTTGTCCATCCACAGTAACATTTGGTTCATTACACACCACTGCTTTGTTATTAACACCACATTAAATGCAAAAGATGGCAGACAACCAAACTAAAAAGAAATTTTGGGAAGCTAAGTTGGACTGTGCTTTTCTGAGATGTTTCTATGGAGTTTAGGAGACCTGCAAAAGCAAGATATAGAATTTTTTGTTCTTTATAAATCCATTCCAGGAAAGAGATAAGCTTCTAATTAAAACAGCTAGCAAAAACCTGTCTCTAAATAATGCCTTGTGCATGGAAAAAATTGGGCTTGCTGTAAGACAGGGATAAACACACAAACACATAGACAAATACACATTTAATTTGTGTACTTTTTAAAGGGATCTTGAAAAAGAATGCCAAGCACTGTTTGCAGTTGTATGGCTATCATTAAGCCCTCTTCTCTCGCAATTTAAAATAGCATGTGAATGACCTAACAACTCTAATTTTACTCTTACCACTATGACTTTATTTTGTTCTGGCCGCTACTTTAAATCTTATTATCCAACTGTTTTGTGTTCTTTGAAATACTGAAACTTGCTTTCTTAAACTGTCACACTGCCATTCTTTAAAAATGTAATGTTTGCTTTGTAAATAAGTACAATATAAATTTAATAAATAATATAAATTAATAGCCTTCCTCCCTTTTTCTCAGATATATGTTTATATGTTTATTGTTTCATCTAAACAATGAGTTTTTCTGTCCAGGTATTGGTTATTTATTAGCTAATTGCTGCCCTCCAAATACTCTGTAGAGAGGATATTTGATAGGATGATAATTAGGTGATGGCAACTCTATTCCAAAATGGTGGCACAGTGTCAACAGCAGCTGCAGGTACAAATCTTTGTTTGGGAGAAATGCCAATTTAAGGCAGAATAAGCATCTTGCATTTGTCCATCCACATTTGTAACTGGATAGAATACCACATAAAACCCCTGGTCAAGGTCTTCTCTAGGATGATAAGATGCATTTTGTTGTTCATCAGATGAATTCATGCTGGATTTTCATATTTTGTAGCCTCCTTTCTTGTACCTTTTGTAGTGATGCATTTCTTCCATGGTATACCTAAGTAGAATCATGATTTTATTGATTTCATTTTTTATCTTTTCAGTACAAACTTAAGGTAGCTTACATGGGGTGGGGTTTCTTTTGTAATTTCATTTCCACAATAATACCCTGAGAGGTAGGCTAGTTTGAGTAGAAATTATTCTCAATCACTTAGTGAGTTCCATGTTTGAGTGAGGACAAATCAGGATCTTTACTGTCTCCTCTAACCTTATAGACCAGGGGTAGGCAACCTTGGCTCTTTTATGACAGTATGGCTGGCTCAGGAATTCTGGGAGTTGAAGTCCACTAGTCATAAAAGAGCCAAGGTTGCCTACCCCGTTATAGATCTTATATGACAGTGATTTTTCATTGAAGAATTTTCCAGTATTCTTCTAATTTTCCTTTTGCTCCCAACTGAATTTTTGTAAAGGCCTTTAAGATAAAAAGACCTAAAAATGTCTTTAATTTTTCCACCTTTCTTTTTTTAATGACAAGATATGAGATTTATATGTTTTGGGTTGGATCTAATTACTCAAGTGGCAGCTGTTTTTGCATGGCTTCAATATTTTTCTCAAAGTTTTACTTCTCTACCTCTCCATCTTATTACTGAACATTGTGTTGCCTTTTTACACTTTTGGTACTATGACAGCTGTGATAGCTGAACAAGTTAGGTATGTATTACTCTGACTCATATCTATCTATCTTTTAGATCTGCCAAATTCTGCTTCCAGAATTTACAACCAATGTGGGTAACAAAGTTACTGGCTAAGAAATCTGAAAATTATGTTTCCAAAACATCTGGAGAACAGCAGGTTAGGAAAATCTAATACAATGACTTTGTTAAATAAATATTTTGTTAATAACTCCTACATAAAAGGAAGAAATTTCTGATTTTTTGCTACTTCAATGTCCTTAAGGAAGAAAGGTATAGAAACAGAATTGCAAATATCTATAAATACATTTAAAATGAACAATTTGTTTTGCTTTTGACAAGCCTAGAAAGCAATTTGTTTATACTGTATCTACAGAGCAATCTGTCCGTTGATAGAGGATATTTATGAATCTTCATCAGTGGGTCACAAGGTCCTTCCTCCATTTGATGGAATCTTTCTGAGTATTCAGAGAAAAAGAACCGTGATGGCTGTATGATGCAGTGGAGCCATGCCTTCTGAAGCCTATGTCTCCAATATGGCAGTGGTGGAGATGCAGAATGGTTGCCCTTTATGTAGGAAAGGATAGGCTAAATGATCAGAAGGCTTGTTCTGCCACTGGGAGGCCTTGTCAACAATTGGGATTTTAAGTTGAGACCTAATTAGTCAATTCAAAGGAGCTTGGCTTATATAAACTATGTTTAGACAACTTGCATGTATGACAAAGCAAAAGTAGAAGTAGATTGTGTTAACATTTTTTGTTCAGAATTCAGGCCTGGGCATGGGACACAAGTGACATTAGTTGCTCCAGCTGATGACCTATTTTAGGATCTAAAAGAGGGAGTGAACCTGCCCTCACTGAGGTCCTGTGGTTCATTGGTTCCTCTCCTTCCCTAATGGACATCTATAAACATATATTCTGATATAGTAGATGAGCTACCTCAGTAAGAAACAGTGAAGCATTTTGGCTTTAAAGATTTTAAGAAATTGTGCTATTAACTGATTCTGAGATGTAATTAGAGGCGTATTTTGTAAATGCCAAATGGCTGGTGGCAATGAGCACAGCCATGTGAAAACTAGAATGAGATTAAACTATCCTGTTGTTATAAAATTATTTGATTATACATGTACATGTAAATATATATATAAAGAAATACTGCTGGCTTAAGGCAAACATCTTGCCTAGCAACTTTGCCTCTTACAGTAATGACTGCAAATAGAACAAAACTCAGCAGTTAATATCTGAGTTACAGTGATTTCATTGGATTCAAGAAATGAATATAGAAATCCTTTCCTTTTAGGTGTCCTTTGCTCCTTGTAAAATATTTATTAAAATGTTTGAAGCAAAGTAAATGGGGCATTTTCACTCCAGATTGCAGGACACAGAATAATTGCTTTAAATTACAGGGAAGCAAATTTCACTTGATTGTTAGCAGGGAAAACCCAACAGGCAGAACAGTTTCAGAAAAACCAACCATCAAAGCAAGTGGTGAACTCCCCCTTTTAAATGTTTTCAAGAGACACTTGATAAATATCTGTAAGGGATGTTTTAACTATAACGAGAAGAGATTGGTAGTTCAATACAGGACAAGTACCATCCTGGTTGTGGTACAGGCAGTCCTTGACTTACAATTATTCATTTAATGATCATTCAAAGTTACAACGGCACTGACTTATGACCAGTTTTTAGACTTACAACAATTGCAGATCCCCATGATCATGTGATCAAAATTCAGGCAGTTGGCAACTGGCATGTATTTAAGACAGTTGCACTGTCCCAGGATCTTGTGATCACCCTTTGTAACATTTCCAGATGGCTTCTGATAAGCAAAATCAATGAGGGAAGCCAGATGACTATACCATTCACTTAATAACTGCAGTGATTTACTTAACAACCGTGGCAAAAATGGTTGTAAAATGGGGCAAAATTCACTTAACAACTGCCTTGCTTATCAACAGAAAATTTGGACTCAGTTATGATCATAAATTAAGGATTATCTGTAATAAGAGCTTCCCTGTTGATTCTAGATCTAATGAAGTTTCATACATGATATCTGGAGATTGGGAATGATACATGGATTGTAGGGGTGGCTGTTGGGCGAAGCCATGAATTGAGCACAGCCTGAGCTATCATAGGTAGTCGGGTTTAGAGTCTGGTTGTCAGGGGGGTCTGAGGGCCCAACTTAAGGTTATCCTGGCTAGTCAAGCCTGTCCTTGGGGTCGCCCTTGTGGCTGATTCTAGTTGGGAAATTCCCCTGGGGGGGGAGACCAGGCCCTTGGGGCTGAGGCACAATGTGAGGAAAGGGGTTCAAAAATGGGCCTTCCCGTTGTGCCTGTCTGACCTGGGGAAGCTGCCGTCTGTGGATTAGTGGTTTCCCTGCATGACTTGGCTCGTTTGGAGTTATTCTTTCCACTTGCCTCGGTAGGATGATTCCTCTTGGCCGGCGATGGTAGATTTTTCTGCCATGATGAATCTGCTTTGGGCTCAACCTCAGCAAAACGACCCCCCCCTCGGTGTTATAGCTTACTAAGGAAGCCCAGCAGAGATGATCCGGCCCAGTGAGGGGGGTGGGCCATGGGGGGGTTGGTAGGCACTGTGTCCTTCCAGAACGAGCTGGCCCTCCCCAATCCAATCACTCTTGTCCGGTGATAAGGTTGATCAATCTAGAGGCCTCTGTCTCAACTTGTCAGAAAACTGGCTTCTGGAATGATCCTGCAGGCAGTCTGGGCCTCTGTAAGTTCCAAAATGGCATCCGGGAGGTAATTCAAAATGGCGGCCACAAGCTCTGCACGCCAAAAACGGCCGTTAGAAAGGAGGCCTTGAGGCCTGAGGCCTAAACTGCGATGAGCCCTCGTTCCTGAGAATCGCCTGGGCTCCTAGCGCAGCGGAGGCCTGAACTGCAGTGAGCCCTCGTTCCGAAGAATCGCCTGGGCTCCTAGCGCAGCGGAGGGTGTTAGGATGGTCAGCTGGGAGGCGCTGAGGCTGGCTGAGGCCGATAATGCCTCCAGGCCTCGGAAGATAAGATCGCACCAAAAATGCTCTTCTGAGGCCGAGGGACCTGGAAAGGTTCCCTCCAGGCCTGGCGAGCTTCGTCGCCGCTTGCGGAGCCCCCTTGTCGATCGGCAAGGCTTACCCTTGCCTCTGGAGCCGCAGGCAGTCGGTGGACGAGGATCGGGCCCTCCGACGATCAGCTGGCAGTCGGGGAATCCTCGGAGCGGCGGCTGACGTTTCGGAAGCTGAGGAACGGCCCCCTATAGGGGCTTGCCCTGTCTCAGGTGAAGGTAGAAAAATCAAAGGAATTGCTCTTAAGGAGAGTTGTTCTTAAGGAAAGTTCTCCTAAGTAAGAGGGGTTCCCTTGAAGGGAAGAGTCTGTAGATGCCCAGCCTGTCAGCCTAGCCAGGCTGTAGGCTGAGGGAGGATTGATCAGTAGATAATCCTGTAATAATGTTATCAGTCACAAATGATAAGGATTGGAATTAAGCTAAGGAAAAAATACAAAGTCTTCTGCTCCAGGAGCGAAGAAAAAACGTGTCTTAGAGCAAAGAGACTAAGTCTAAAACTGGGGTGCAGTTGGCACAGAGGGGGCGGTACTAAATTTCAGACTTAGTCTAATTGGAGCAGATAGATTAAGACAACCCATCCGTGGGTTCTCCATCCAATCATGCTGGAGAACAGATTCCTGCTGGACTTTGTGCTGAGCTGTGCAATGGTGAACACAATGAAAGAAATTAATGATACATTCTGCAACATATAGCTTAAAGCATATTGTGGTTACCTTTTTCTAATGCTTAGATCATAGCGGTCCATTCTTAACTGTGATGATTATTGGATACATCATCGTGTCTACTAAATTGTTCATTGGCATTGCAGATTAGAGGAGGGATCAATGAAGTCATAGCTTCCGCTTCTATTTTTCCACTGTTACATACCTAACTAAAGACCTATCCCTTTGGGACTGTCCATACTAATTACAGGCAACTTTGTTTTCATTGGCTTTAGAAACATATTTCATTATTCTATAGATATAGATAGATATATAGATAATGTAGATTGTTGTTTAATCATTGACCCTTTTATATCTTCCCATTTGTTGATGTGTTTTGAAATGATTTGCTTAACTGTGACAAAAAAAGATTGTAAAATTGGGTGTAATTCATTGAACAACCATCTTGCTTAGCAATGGAAATTTTGGTCCCAATTCTGGCAATAAGTTGAGGGCTATCTGAACAATGGTATAACTGGGATCCATTACAGGTAGTGCTCCCTTAATGACTGCCTTATTTAGTGACTATTTGGAAGTATGATGATGATGAAACAAATAACTTTGCAATTAATTTATGGCCTTTGCAGGTCAGTAAAGCAAAGGAAAACTGAAGATGTGATGTTCCACTTAATAACTACTTCACTTAACAACTGAGTTGCTAGTCCCAATTGTAATTGCTAAATTAGGACAGTAGAATAAAAAAAGAGCATGAGCTCCAGACAATTTATTCACTTAACATAATATGTCAGATTATTTTAAAAGTAAAAGATGAATGTCAGCCATATTCCTTCATGGATTCACTGATTGCAAAACACCCAAATTTGTTCCTACCCTACAATCACTAAAGCACTCATTTTTCTGTTGCATTTTCCTCTATTATATTTTTTGTAGGATCAGATTCTTTTTCTTCCCTGAGTTTATTAGATAAAAAGAAAGCTCCTTTACATTTGTTCCTAATTGTTCTGATGTTTCTCTCTTCCAAAACAGATTTTTTTTATTTAAATTGTTTTTTATTAAAACAATCCATGTGTGTGTATATATGTGTATGTGTATATATGTATACACATATATATGTATACACACATATATATGTAAGAATTATATGAATTATATATGTACATACCTATTTAATATACTGAGATTTATACATATTATATACTATAAATATGCATGTACCTTGCTAATTATCTTTAGATTCCAGCAGCTTCTAATTCATATTTAAAACTCCATGGAATACCTCCAAAATGGTTTTGAATGAATATGCATTTCCATACCAGCAAACACAATTAATGTACTTAAAGATTTTAAACAGATGTTCTTCATTAACAATGACATTGTGAGAATATTACATATGCTGTAATCTGTTTTGAATACTGTACATTTAATACATAATATCCA